GTTGAAAATGATAATAAAATGTTTTATAAAGTGCATAATCTTTGCAATGAGTTCCCTGGTGGATATGGAAAAGAGACTGTAAATCTTTATTCACCTTTGTATATAAAGAAGAATGATATCATTGGATTTGATTTTTAAGGACAAACTCCATCAATAGCGTATGTTGAAGATTCAACCAAGGCTCCAAAGTTATATCATGTAAATAATATCTCTAAAATCTAATTTAATCTTTAATATTTTGAAATTTTATTTGAATTGCTTAATTCATATCAACAGATATATGAATTAGACAAAGGAAGTAAAAACATACCAATAACTTATACTGCAAATTTTATAAATAGTCCTATAATAAATAGGTATTTTGCTATTAATCTCTTTTTAATCAATGCACCAAAAAGAGGTAAACATTCAAATTGCACTCTCCACAAGTTCTACACAATTACAAATGTTTTTCAAACTATTTCTTCAAGATGATAATCCCATTTGTCAAATTGACGAATCAACTCATGTTATTGGAGATGAAGTTAAACACAGAAATGGAATTGGAGGTGACCATTTTAATATATTTATGGATAGAAGATTTCCTTGTGATGGCTATTTAACATATATCAAATATCATAGATAGAGTTCAAACAATACTGGAAATTTTGGTATTTGGAGACCCCTTGATGAGGAAAATATACAGAATTTAACTTTTAAACTGATTCATTTGATTCCAGTACCTTCAGAGAGTATTGGTTTTAAAACTATCCAATTTAATGAAAGACTAAATGTAAGAATGGGTGATGTTTTTTCAATTCTTCCTCAAAAAAATGGTAAACAGATTGTTGCTTATAATGAATATTGTCTCAGCTGTTCCACAGTATAGAAACAAAATTCAATTTTCTCAAAGTCATGTTTATATAATTATTTATATATAGATTGTAATAATTTCAAACAAAGGAAATCTAAGTGCAGGTGATGTTGTTAATCTCGAATAAAATTTACAATATCGACGTAAAAGAACTCACTCCATTCTATATGGGATAGTATCATTAAAATCTGGTCAAGCACTTTTTTTTGTTGGTTTTTTTCTCATCATTTTTTTATCATTAAGATCATTGCTATCTAAATAAGTCTATAAACATGAACAACTTAAAAAGTCACTAGGCTGTTGCTTGAAGGTTTTTACATAGAAAAATTTACATTAGGTTTATGTGTTAGAGAACTTCCAGATCTCTAGAGTTAAATGTGATATTGGGGGTCATACACATACATATATATAAATATGTCTTTATGCATACAATGTATTAAATCTTGTGATACACGTGATTATATCGATACCAATTAGTAGGCAATTAGAATACAGCAACCGTTTGATACGGTTACATACAATAAATTATATCGTTTTGTAATCGTAGAAGAACCAATCTTCAACATTATGTTAGTATGTTATTGCCATTGGTATGGACACAAATTTTATTCGAATATCTTCTGATATATTTTGGCATAAATCGAAATTTTAGTAATTTAGTTACAGTTATTGTTTAATTCATTTATTAAATATATATTATATTGTCTTTTTCCGGCATACACATCTGTTTGGTATGAGACAATTTTGGAGATGGCTACCTTGTTACTTTTCTTGCTAAAAAGATAATGTATAAAAATTGGGTTCCACACAACAAATAAATTCTCCCAAAGGATACACAGTTAAGTAATTGTAAAATGAAAAGATAAATGTATGTACCATAGAAATTATTTCGACTGCAATAAACAAGGGTTTATAAATAGATAAGTCACTTTGTTTTCTATTAAAAACATGGTGTATTTAGAATTGGATACTAATGCCAATAATTATAGCAATTGTTGATAGAAGAGCAAGCAGTTTGCGTAGCAGGCTGTCATATTATCAAACTGGTACTCAAGGTACAAGTGGAAATGCATTGTCTAATTGAGATAAGTGACAAAATGAATGTAACAAAACAGTGATGATTTATGTAATCTAATTTTTATCCCTAACTATAAATCATATCTTTGCAGTTGGTGAGCTGTCTGGTTGATATTGATGTTTGTTAACATGTTAACAGGAGGTTAAAAAGTATAATTAGCAAATTGCTTAATTTTTGTTTTTGGAAGGTTAATTGAAATAAAACTTGACCAAATGGTTATGTGTTTTCTAAAGTAGATTTTTTGTAGTATTAGTATATGTTGCTGGATAATTATAAGAATAAAATATAAAGACTTTTTATAAAATATAAATACTGGCTGCTTTTTCCAATAACTGGATTTTAATCCGAAATCAAATTGCACCTATCAGCCAAATATTTGACTGTGAGTGTTTTGGCAAGGTTCCTTTCACAATCTATTTACCTTCTTCTCATCTAACAATTTCTTATAAAGTGTTCTTAGCTTTGCTTCTGTTTTTACTGCTTTCATTAGACTTGATCATTGGGTAGAAAGATACAGGTGAATTTAGGTAATATTTCTAGTAAATTAGAATATAATTCTCTATATAAAAGGAAAGAACAGGCATATATGATAATGACCAAATTACTGTCATTACTATTCTTAATATATGATGATGGGTCATCCTGTGAATAAGTTAAATTTTAAAAGTACTTTCCAACCATTTTTTGAGTTTGAAAAATGTCAACATTTAAGTTTGTTACCTTAACAATGAAGAAAAAATCAACCTAATGAAACAAAGGGAAAAAATTGGAAATAAAAATGTGGTATATTAGTTGTCATAATAACATATTTAATGAAGTATGTAGAAGACAGCTGGATTAGAAGCAGCTTTTCGCCTCAGGAGATCTGCTTTTAACAACAGGAACCAACAATGGCTTAGAAGGTTTTCATTATTGGTTGAATCAAAAAGGTTAGTGCAAAGTTGTCAATTTACACAATTGTTGATGATTAAAAAAGAGGCTGACTATATATAGTAATTTCCATTTCTATGAGAAATTGTTAAAAAAGAGAAAACTATAGAGAATCCAAAAATATATCTATTTAATATTTCAAAGAAAATAATCCTATCAATCAGGAAAAATGAATAGCTTGCAAAAATACAACTTAACTGATTGAAATGCCTTTATGTAACCTTTATTTCTTCATATTAAATAGTACCGAGTTATGTCTACAGTTTTCTAAAAGGTATCTAAGTCCAACTGAAGTGCACATTCGGAAAATAAAATGTCTATAATGAAAAATTAATGCTTTTTAACGAAACAACTATATGGTACAATATTTCTACCAGTTTTCTATCAATTACGTAATGCAATAAAAACAGCAAAAAAAATACTCTCTTCGTATTAATTATAGGCAAAATATGCATTTCCCATTTCCTAAGTTTTATATATCTTCATAATAATTTCTTTGTTTTAAGATTTGAAACTCTCTTTATTGAATTAATTTATTGAATATTACAAGTTTATGTAATTTTTGAAGAAGCTTTTTTCTTTTCTCATAAGTTGTTACTGTTAATTTTTGTCTTGGCAGCCATATTTGTTATTTGAAAGTGAATCTATTGTTTACAAAATTAAGAAAGGGTACCTGTTTGTATCAACTGTTATAAAGGATACAAATACTATAAAAGTAGACGGAGTAGTATGAAATGCAGTGACTACCAGGAATATGTACATGCAACATGTATGAAAGGTATGCTTGGAAGTTTTTTTTAAATTTGTCACTTTTTCATTTATAATTTCGAATCTCAAAGAATATTTTGCAGTAACTGTGCAGAAAAGCTTACTGTATTTGTAAATCACAAAGAAAGAAACTATCTTTGTCATAAAACAGCAAACTTGCTCAAATTTCACATAAAAACATCGGCGATGTAAAAACTTTTAGTCTTTTGATAAATTGATAAAGTCATTCTACATTAGTGTAATGTTTTTGTACATTTTTTGAATCTATTCACTTTGTTGTTTATTTAATTTGCAGTTGTGCAAATCAGGTTTCTTCAATGTATTGTATATGGATTTTAGAAGTCCCTCACAAAATTTCCTAAAATCCATTTCCAATTGTTGAATTCCACGATACATCTACTGTTTCTATAATAGAACATTTTTTTTAGTAGATTTCCAATCTCTCTACATTATTCCTCATTTAATTTACAGCAGTGTAAACCAATATTTTTCAAGCTATCTGAGGAGTTTTGAAGTCCTTCACAAATATCTAATAATGTATTTCCCATGTCTATATTCTGAGATAGATTTATTGTTTCCATTATAGAACAATTTTTAAGCAGATTACCAATCACTCCAGCTTGTTCCTCAGTTAAATTACAAAACCTTAAATTAATATTATTCAGGGTATTTAAAGATTTTTCAAGTCCTTCACAAATCTTCAAAAATCCATTGCCCATATCTTGATTTTCAGATAGATTTACTGTTTCTATTTTAGACAATTGAATAAACAGGAAATGCTAAACAATTTTATTAAATTGTTTCTGGACACTGATTTCTCATATTATTACTGAGAAATGATTTATATAACATATTCTAGTTAGAAAAATTAATAACAGAGGATATAAATTGCCTTGGCCTACTTGCTTATCTCTGACTTACTACCTATAATTGACCTATTATGGGAATATTATCAGATAAGTTCAAAAAGACTAAAGCGAACTAACAATTAGAAAATCTTTTGATGAGTTCAAAAACTGAAAACAAATAAAAAAAGTAAAGTTTAGACTTTGTTGAACATTTGAAGGATGTGGCTAGGTTGCAGTTGATAGAAAACACTTTAGGAGTTATACAGAGATACTTTTGTTGACCACTTTTAGGTAAATTGAACAATGACGAAATCTCTTTTATGGCTTTATATAAATTTTGTGTTGTAATATTCTAGACATGTTCTAATATTTAGTTAAAAAAGTTTCAAAACGATTCTTTCTTCTATCTTTAGTAATCAGGTTGTTTATTACTTTCAGGTATTATCTTGGAGCAGATAAAGTAGATACTTTCGAAATGAAAATGATAACAGAATATACATATATAGAGTCGTATAAAAATTTCAACTAAAATTTTTTATTTCCTTTTAATTAACCATTTTTGAATTTACAGCAGTAATGTTCAAAACATTGTTCTTTGCATTTACATTCAGCACTTTTATTCTTTTATCAAAATGGGCAATTTGTGATTGCAGTACAGTTAAAGAACAGGAATTTTTGATGGAGAAAAATATTTTGGAAATGAAAGAAATTTTTAGATTTGAGAGTATTACTTCTAGGCTTGTTGACAAAATTCTAGAGAGCACAATTCGCTGTAGTAAGCATAATTCTTTAAGAGAATTTGCTGTTCAATGTCAAATGGAAAGAATATTTGTTAAAAAAGAACTTTCTAGTAGTGAAAGCTGGAGTTTTCAAAGTACAAAGTCACATTTTCTAAAAAAAGGTTATTTTAATAAGAACTAAAATACTTTTTAGTTGAAGACTCCCATGGAAAAGAATCATCTGGAAGACTTCAAGACAGAAGGATATGGTATGGAGAATACGATCAATGTTATAGTGTTTATAAGACAGTGAATATTACTGGAGAGAATGAAATGTTAAAAGGCTTCTATGTGTTGATCACAGCAAAAGGAAAGAGACCAGATATTGAAATTGATGACTATTTTACAACTGGATTTTGTGCATTACCAAAATGTAGAAAATTTATGGAAAATGCTCTAAAATGTAAGTAAGCATTTCAATAAAAAATATTCAACCTCTCACTAAAACTAACTTCTTCGAACTAATTGAAATATTCAAGATAAAATCAAGAATGAATCTTGCGAAGAGCAACTATCAGAAGGTGAATTTAAAATGGATAATATAAAAATTCCACTTAGAAATGATGCTTCTGGATTGGCCGGAATGTAATAAAAAAAAGAAATTGCAAATTTTAAATATGGTTAATAATCTTTTGCCTCAATTTAACAGAATATTTTTTTCTATATTTTTTTCCTTGGTAATTGGTGGAACATTTTATGATCATTTTAGTAAAAAATTCCAAAGTACAAATGATAAACAGAAAGTAAATGGAGATGAAAATTTAAGTAAATATTTAATTATTGTCTAATCTTTCTCTTTATCTCTAATTTATTTATTAAATACATTAGATAATCTTCAATACATTCTCTTATCATTTTCATGCTTTAAATCATTGCCAAAGATATTCTCAATAAAACATGTTAAAGGCAGTTTCAAGTCACTTAATGGGATTAGAGGACTTTCAGCAATATGGATAGTTTTTTATCACAGTTATTCTGAACAACATGGTGTTGCAGGTATTAAATGTTACTGGTTTATTTTTAAATTTCATTAAAAATGTACCTTTTTTGGAAATTTTAAATTGAAATTAAAAAAATAAGGGTTTTGGATAAATCAATAATCCATGGATATTTTCTATCATATATTCTACCACTTTTACTATTAATCATTAGTTTATTTATGTTTCACAGCAAATAAATTGGAGATAAAGACAACAATGAAAGATTTTATATATCAGATAATATATAATGGAAATTTTGCAGTTGATACTTTTCTAACACTATCTGGTTTTCTTATTACTTATCTATTTATAAAAGATTTAAAAAAAAATAATTATAAAATATCAAAGAGAAAAATTTTTAAGCACTTTGCACATAGAATATGGAGATTATTTCCACTTCTAGCAGCAACTGTTGCATTACAAGGTGCAGTCTTGCCAATTTTTAAATATGGGCCAGGAGTTGTAGAATTGAAAACAATTGGACAAGAACATATAGATCCTTGTAGAAAAACTTGGTGGAGAAATCTATTATTCATACACAACTTTTTTCCACAGGAAGAGATGGTAATTAGTTATAGTAAAACTTCTTATTTTGTATGTAATCATTAATTTTTGTGACAGTGTGCTGTTGCAACCTGGTATATCAGTTGCGATGTACAAATATACTTTGCTCTTAGTATAGGCTTATTTCTTTATATTGTGTAAGTTACTATTAGGGTCACCCTGAAAATTTTACCCATTTCCCTGTAATTTTAAAACGGTACATTGTAGGCCTATATTATCATTATTAATAGAAAGTGAATTTATTAATGCACTATCACTAAAAAACTGTCACAAATTGTGATCCCTGAATGAAAAGTTTTTGAGACTTCAGTGGTGACACGGTATGGATGATGGTATAAAGCAGAGAGTAATTATTCAATTTCTTGCATCACAGCAAGTTATTGCAATTGATATTCACAGGCAACTGAAAGCTTTTTTTGGTAAAACAACACTTGATGAAAGTTCAGTAAGAAGGTGCATTAGAGAATTTAAAGGAGGAAGAACTTGATGATGATAGGCAGGGATGCCCAAGAACAGCCAGTAACAATGAAAATAAGGACAGAGTTATTGCTCTAATCAGAGATAATAGGAGAATAAGCCAGGCTGAGATATCTCAAACATTGAACATAGGTCATGCTGCTGTTGAAGATTTGATTTCCAGTCTTGGGATGAGACAGATTGTCTCAAGATGGATTCCTTACCAACTCGATTGGTATCAGAAAGACAAAAGGGTATAGATGTCTACAGAACTCCTAGAAAAATATGGTGAAGAAGATGATTTTCTGGAAAAGATTGTTTTAGGAGATGAAACTTGGGTATTCTATCATGAACCATTGACTAAAAGAGTTTTATTAGAGTATCATACAAAATTTTCTACACCACCAAAAAAGGTTAGGACAGGTAAGTCTGCAGACAAACTCTTGGCATGTCTGTTTTGGGACAGGGAAGGGCTTCATCTAGAATTTTTAAGTTTGCAAGTCAGAATAAATTTAGAGATTTACATCAGCATTTTAAAGAGATTAAAACAAAGAATAAATAGAATCAGGGGCAAAATATATGAGAATGATGAGGAATTGCAAATTGCACTAAGGACATTTTTCAGGTCCAAACCACTCTTATACTTCGCCAAAGGAATTGATATGCTTCCTGCAGGTGGTAAACATGCATTTACAATAATGGGGAATTTGAAGCTATATAGACATACAAATACCTAACACATTAGTTAATATTTATGACCAAACATATTGTGTAATTTTTTTTGGCTGTAAGACACAAATGGATAAAACTTTCAGGGTGACCCTAATATATATATAATATATATATATATATATATATAGATAAGGTAATAGTTTAAAACAAATATTTCAGAACGCCTTTTGTAACATTTGCTATTTTTGGCTGTTTTATTCTTAGTCAGCTAATGAGCACATCTTTATTAATGAGAAATGAATTGTGAGTACCTAAGACGTTTTTTAAAAGTGTATGAATATATCTCTTGAAATATGTATTATAGAACTTCTGGTGGTAGAATTAATTATTTTGAAACTTTTGATAGTATCTATTTTAAACCTTATACTAGAGCTGCTCCCTATGCAATTGGAGCATTTGTGGCCATCTTTCAACATAAATTTCCAAAACCCAAAATTGGAAAACTCTTTATAGGGCTTGGATGGTTTTTAGTTATGATGCTGATGTTTTTTACTTTGTATGGAAGAAATTTTGGTATGACTAATTATACAGCTGACAGTAAAATTACTGCAATAGCATTTTATACATTGACTCGTCCTGTTTGGTCAATTTGTATTTGTTGGATAATTTGGGCTTGTAACAATGGATATGGAGGAATAATTAACAATTTTCTTTCAATGAGAATATTTCTACCATTTAGCAGAATTAGTTTTGGAATGTATATGGTACATGCTAGTTTACTTCATTTATATAATGGCATTTCTCGTTATAGAAAACATTCTTCTCATTTTGAAATCGTAAATATAGATTTTCAAAGTATGAAATATGAACATAAATTTAATTTCATATCTCTTTTTTTTGCAGTTTGTCTTCTTCCTTGCTTTACTTTTTGCATCAATGATTGCTGGTTTATTCTTCACAATTTGTTTTGAGTTTCCATTCTTTAGCTTGGAAAAACTTGTCCCTGGTATGACACCTGATAAAAAACCTGTTAGAAAATCTAATGGAGCCGGAGAAAGGCGCAAATAAATGTTGGTCAAAATTCTTTATAGAATGAATCCATCAACTTATCACTCTTATATAAAAACAGCTCATATTCATAAACTGACATTTTCTTCTTATTGTAAATGACACAAATCCCCCTAAGGGGACTATTGAAAACGCCCATTTTGAATTTATTTTTGGGTGAGAGTCTGGGTTAGGAATGGGTTATGAAAAATAGTAAAGCAATTGATTTGTAATTAGGCAGGATCAAACTAATGGTTAGGAACACTGAAGTGCTTTAATCAGAGTCCACGGCTGGGCTAGATTTAGGGTAAAACCATAAAACTGTGGGCGTTTTCAACAGCAATCAAATCCTAGATGTTTATGAATACAGTTTTAGATATATATTTTAGTTCTTAAAATTTTTGAAATCACTTAAATCAAAAAGAGATTCATTCTAGAGTCTTCCGCTTTCTTATAGTTATGAGTGAGGTTATCCAAAAGTCTTCTTTGGTAAAGCAAACTGTAAAAATCCAAATTAATGCTAATTAAAAACATTCTGCTACTCTCCTTAGACCCAGATCTTCTAGAAAAGAAATCTGAGAGGCCAATAGTATTTAATTAATTTTCTGATATTTTTAGTATTGCATTTTGTAAATTATGCAATAAATTAACTGATACTCTAAATGCATATCTTTATATAAAACTAGATTCTAATCTTATACAAATGTGTAAAGAAATAGACAAATTAAGTTTCACTTGTAAAACTTATTCATAAGAGATTTTCATATCTCTAGGGGACAAGTTTAAACAAAGTATTGAACTTAGTGAAAAATAGAATCTAATTTTAAATTTGTAAGTTAAAATTATGTGAAATTCAATCTTT